CTTCACCTTCGGCTCCTACCGGCTGGGCGTCCACACGAAGGGGGCCGACATCGACGCCCTGTGCGTCGCTCCGAGACACGTCGACCGAAGCGACTTTTTCACGTCATTCTATGAGAAACTGAAGCTGCACGAAAACGTCAAAGACTTAAGGGCCGTGGAAGAGGCGTTTGTGCCCGTTATCAAGCTATGCTTTGATGGGATAGAGATTGATATTTTGTTTGCAAGATTAGCACTGCAGACCATTCCAGAAGATCTGGACCTGCGAGATGACAGTCTGCTTAAAAATTTAGATATCAGATGCATCCGAAGCCTGAACGGTTGCCGGGTAACCGATGAGATTTTGCACCTCGTACCAGACATCGACAACTTCAGGCTAACGCTGAGAGCTATCAAGCTGTGGGCCAAGTGCCACAATATCTATTCCAATATATTAGGTTTCCTCGGAGGCGTCTCCTGGGCCATGCTCGTGGCCAGAACCTGCCAGCTCTATCCCAATGCTGTCGCCTCGACTCTCGTCCGCAAATTTTTCTTGGTCTTTTCCGAGTGGGAGTGGCCAAACCCCGTGCTGCTGAAGGAGCCTGAAGAGCGGAATCTCAACCTGCCCGTGTGGGACCCGCGGGTCAACCCCAGTGACCGCTACCATCTGATGCCCATAATCACTCCGGCCTACCCGCAGCAGAACTCCACGTACAACGTGTCGGTGTCCACGCGGATGGTCATGGTCGAGGAGTTTAAACAAGGGCTGGCCATCACACACGAGATCCTGCTCAGTAAGGCAGAGTGGTCCAAACTGTTTGAAGCCCCGAACTTCTTTCAGAAGTACAAGCATTATATTGTGCTTTTAGCCAGTGCACCAACAGAAAAACAGCATCTAGAGTGGGTGGGTTTAGTGGAATCAAAAATCCGAATTCTGGTTGGAAGCTTAGAGAAGAATGAGTTTATTACCCTGGCTCATGTCAACCCCCAGTCGTTCCCAGCACCCAAAGAGAATCCTGACAAGGAGGAATTTCGTACAATGTGGGTGATTGGACTGGTGTTGAAAAAACCAGAAAATGCGGAAAATCTCAGTATTGATCTCACCTATGACATGCAGTCTTTCACTGATACAGTTTATAGGCAAGCAGTCCTCAACAAGATGTTTGAGGTGGACATGAAAATCGATGCGGTGCACTTACGGAGGAAGGACCTCCACCAGCTCCTGCCCAATCATGTGCTTCAGAAGAAGAAAATACACTCAGAGGAGGGCTTCCACCTGACGGCCCGGAGTGACAGCAGCCTGGACCTGTCTGTGGGCAGTGACGATGGTTTGCCCACCCAGTTGCATGCCAGCAATGGAAAGACCAGCCCAGTGGTGGGCAGCACTCTGGGCAGGAACAGTCCTGCCCCAGCCGTGATGGCAGCATCTGGGACCAGCAGTCAGGTGGCTGAGGTGGCCATGCCACAGGTCAGTGGTGGTGAAGGTTCAGGGGGCTTATTCAGTGAAAGCATTCTTCATACTGTCATGCAGCCCACCATCTCTCCACCCCCCAAGGCCACAGTTAACAGAGTTGTTTCTTCAACCTGCCTGGTGAACCATGACCCCAGACCTTCAGGAAATGCAGCAACTGAAGTACCTAATCCTATTGTAGGAGTTTAGAGAACTGTCTAAAGAAAGAAGAAAGGACCAAGAAAGCCAACCACAGCTCCTTAACGGGACAGATGCAGCCCAGTTAGAAGCTCTTCCAACAGCAGCTTTTCTGCTGGCCTCAGGAAACATTCCATATCGACCTTCCCCGTATCCCATCTCCCTGCTAATCCTATCCCTGTTATCAAGAATTGAATAAAATGAAAATGAACCAGTACCAACAACCTCAAGGTCCATATCTCATACCTAGTCAACACATTGTTTTAAAATGATAGAGAGGTGTCAGGAGACGTCATCCAGTTAGGTTTGTAGGGTGCAATGCTTTTCTGGGCTAATCTTGGTCAGAAGGTTAGTATGTGACGCTGCAGGTGCAGTTATTAATAGGCCTAATAGTTAATGTGTGAGCAATGTTGACTATCGGAAAGACTACTATGGTGGCCTAGTGGTAGGAAGCTGTGCTGCAATCCCAAAGGCACAAGGTTCAAGTCCCCCAGCTGCTCTGTGGGAGAAGGATGGGCAGTCTCCTCCCAGGCAAGTAACTGCCTCTGAAACCCTGCCACAGGGTCAGCTGTGGGTCGGTTCCGTCTCGTCAGTACACAACAACAACAACAACTGCCTTTTTTAAAAAAGAACACCATTCTACAGGTATAACTGTACTTAAGACAGATCTGGACTAGAATTTATGTTCAGTTCATTGTTGGGAACATTTTCTATGCATAGAAACCAGTACAAGAATTCTTTGTATTGATGATGTACTTTTGCATGTTTTTATTAGGAAGAGCTGGTTTTATCTTTTTCAGCTTCATAAATCCTAGTAGTGTGGTTTTGGCTTCTTCCCCACCTTCCCACCGCCCCTGAAACTTTTCTTACCCTTCCAAGTGGATACCGTTGTGCTAAATGCGAAAGCCAGGCTACTGTCTGGGGATTCATCCTGACGGACAGCAGCCTTGCAGGGCAGTGCAGCTGTCCACACCCGAGACTCACTGTCTATGGAAATGGCCTCCTCATACTTGCCCAAGGGGCAGCTGCTGGGTTCAAACTGCTCACCTTTGAGTAACAGCTGAATTTTTAAAGATTTTTATTTCAAATTGGTTTATTTACAGAGTTCATATACATTGTGTTTTGCATAATCATACAATTCATTTTATAAAACTAATCAGCATTGAACTATGCCCACCATTGTCCTGTCTTTCCAGATCCCCACTGGATTTTTCCCATTTCCTTTACCCACCCCTCCCTCCATCATTTGTGCGACCCTCTGCTTTCCCCCCTGCCCACCCTTACCCCCTGCTCTTGCCCTCTCCCCCTTGGATCCTTGTTTTACTAGTTATCTATTTCTCCAGTAATGGTCTCATACAGTATTTGGCCTTAAGGGACTTAATTCACTCAGCATAATGCTCTCCAGTCCCTCCCAAGTGATGCGATTTTCCACATTGCTCCTGCATGCTGCATAGTTTCCCATTTTGTACCACATGAATGTACCACCATTTCTCAGTCCATTCGACTGTGGGTGGACATTTGGACTGTTTCCATGTTCTTGCCCTGCGCAGTGAGTCCCCCCTAGAGAGGGGCGTGTGCAGCGGGGGTGGCCCAAAAGGGCCTCCTCTGGCCGTTTTGTTCCACTTGAAGGTTTGGGGGCAATCTAGAAAATTTTCATGTGACTCTACCCATTTTGGTTGGAGGGACAGTGCAGGAGAGGAAGACTCTCGAGATGGATTGACTCAGTGACTGGGGTAATGGGAGTAGGTGTGTTGGAGACAGTGAGATTGGCACAGGGTAGAGCAGGGTTTAGGGCTGTTGTACACGGGGTCACTGTGAGTCGCAGGCGACTCAACGGCACATAACAACAGCTACCACCCTGCATTTAACCAAGCTGCAATCTTGGAACTTTTGGAGTTTCACTTTAATTTCCTGAGGAACAAGCTACTACTTTCTCTTTTTAATGTACGTGGTGTTCCATAAAGCAGGATAGGCGGCATTGTATGTAATGTGTTGCTCTGCTAGCCAGAATACTGGTGGTTCAAATCCATCAGCCACTTTCTGAAAGAAAGATGCAGCCTCTGAGTGCACCTGCAGAGATGGCAGCTGGCTGCTGGGGTGCCCCGGGGCTCGCTCTCCTGCGGGGTCCTCGAGAGTCACAGTCTGGGAGATAGACCTGGTTTTGTTCCGAGTTCTCTGTTTTTCAGATGGTATTTGAAAACAGATAATTTATTTCTTTCCCCAAAACACAGTGAAATTAAACACCAAACCAGCCAACCAAAACACCAATCAAACTTTTGCCATCAAGTCAATTCTACCCCTCCACAAGACAGCAGAACTGCCCCAGGTAGTGTCCATGGCTAGAAATCTTTGCAGAACAGTCCGCTACACCCTTCTCCCACAGAAAGATTGGTGGGTTCAAGTCATCAACCGTCTGCTCAGCAGCTGGTGCTTCAGCAAGCAAAGCAAAACCCATATACTGGACGGGGGAGATCAGAGGCAAGGAGCATGCAATCTTATGTCACATACTTTGGGCATGTTGTTAAAAGGGGCAAGTTCTTGGAAAAGGAAATCATGCTTGGAAAGGAGGAGGGTCCGTGAAGACAGACCTCAGTCAGACAGATTGACACAGCCACTGTCCAGTGGGCTTAAGGAAGTCCGAGATGGTAAGGACGGCACAGGGTAGCGCAGTGTTCAGATCCACTCTTCAAAGAGTTGCCCAGTCACAGCCATCTTGGAATGGTGATGGGTTTGAACCACTCACCTTTTCAGTTGCATCCCAGTGTGCTTAACCCACTGTTCCACCAAAGAAAAATCTAAGTGTGTGTATTTGGGGTCCAACTCCTCAGGACTGAGGTGCCATGCCCCAATTTTATGCACATGTCAGTGCCAGGGCCCTCAGAAGTATCAGCGTGAGTGCAAATCGCTTATTCATTCAGGGGAGAAGAAATAGCTTCATCAGGTTTGCAAATGTGTGCAGGGAAAGTGAGACTTTCTCACTGCTGATTGAAAACAAAAACAAATGGAAAAAATCTCACTTGGCCCCCACCCTTCTCACTCGTCTCCCCCACCCCCTCGCTCGGCCCTGCCCTCCTCTGTCCTCACTCGGCTGTCGGGTTTGAACTGCCAGCCTTTTAGTTCACAGCCCAATGCTTACACTACTGCAGTGCCCCACCAGGCCCCTAGGAAAAGGCGGGAGGGTGTTGTTCCCTGTGTGAGGAGCCGAGCCCCCCTCTTTGCCGTGCCTGAGACACCTCATGAAGACAGAGGACTGAGCTCTGGGCGGGAGATGGCCAAGTGAAGGTGCGGCTGGAAACGCCTCCTCCTCTGGTCAGGCGGCCAGGGTCTGTCCCGGAGTCAGCGCAGGGAGTACAGGGCACCATTGCTGGTGTCTGGTGTGCCCTTCTCAGAGGAGGCTGTGCCCTTCCTCTCACACAGGAGCCTTATTCTGCCACACCACCCGCTGTTGGCAAGGCCCCACGAGCCTCTGCCTCCATCGATGCCAGACAAATGGCTGAGGCCTTTATCTGCTCAGTTACCCATTATCCTAATGACGTTATTAGTCACTTCTCAGGGGTATTATTTCCTGTTTAAAACTAATTAACATGAGAAAGTCCAAGTTTCCCCGAGGAAATAATACTCTTTAGTGTTTTCAAAAAGCATTGATCCCAGCTTTTAAAAACAGGACCTACCCAGACTGTCCAAAGGTAGACATTGGGAGAGTGGGAGAGGGTTTGAAGGGGAGCACGAAGCTTAGTGCCACCGTCAAGGCACGTGTGTGGGACAGCTTGGATCTTTCACTCCACTTCTGGTCAACCCAGAAAGGCCAAACCCGTTGTTGTCGAGCCATTCTGACTCAGAGCCACATTTTTACATTATTTAAACCAAATTATTTTAGATCTTTAGTTTTCCTCCCCCTTTTAAATTTATTGCTCATCTAAATTTAAATTTATTAGGTTCCTCATACGGAGGGACCAGTCCTTGGAGAGGGACGTCATGCCTGGGAGGGTGGAGGGACAGCACAGTGGAGGAAGACCCTCATTGAGATTAATTGATTCAGTGACTGGGGTAGTGAGGTGTGTCCGAGACAATGAGATTGGCCAGGAAAGAGCAGGGCCTAGGGCTTAGGTTGCTGAGTTGCAGGTGACTCAAGGGCACATAACAACAACAACAACGTATTGGACATCTTTTTTTAAAATTACATTTTTCTTGGGATTTGAGTTTAAATTTGCAGAAAAATTGGTTTCCACTTGATAATTCATCCACATTTTACTGTGTTGTTACTGACAATCCCCATCATTTAAGAGCACTCTTCCCTGTCCCTCCCTGTGCTTCCCTTTTCCATCCATCCTTCTTTCCTGTCCCTTCCTGCTCTCTATCTCTGAGCAAATACTGCCTTTTTGATCTCAGATATTGGATTGTTCTGAGGGCTTGTATCTCCCTGTGTTCCCCTTGTAAGCCTTCCTTCGGCTGACTGTTCATCTTGGGAGGTAGGTTCCCTTCCCAGTTTCAAGAAGGCCTAAGGGCAGTCCATAGACCTGGTGTCTTAGTCTCTATGCAGCCAGTGAACTTGGCTTTTCTGTGACTGTGTTAGTCATCGTCCCCTCCCACTCTGACGTCCCGGATCTTTCACTGTGACTGTTGAGTGGTCAGTAAGAGGAGCTGGACGCCACCGAGTTCTTCTGATCTCAGGGCTTGTTGGCTCCTTAGTCCTTTGGACCAAATGTTCTTTGTATCTTTGATCAGTGGTTCACCATAACCAGCCTCTTGCAAGCTTCTCACCTCCCAGTCACTACTCCTCAAGTGGCTGTACAAGTATGTCTTCGTGGGCTGTGCTGTGCGTTGAGGGACAAGAGTAGCCACGACATCTGTACCTGTGGTAAGGGGATCTTAAAAGCAGTCCCCCTCAGATACCGAGGGACTGTCCCAATGAAGCACATGTACCATGGCCTAGCTTAATACTGCCAGTACTGTACCCCACCACTCATTGTTCCCTACAGGTTTCCTGGGTCTCTCTGTAAGTGG